GCCGACCCTGGCCCCACCCTCCGGGCCTGCCCGTAACACGAGCCGCCGGCAGCCGGCGGGGCCCGAGCGGGCGCGGCCAGGTGGGTCGGCGCCCGCCCCGACCGTGCCCACCGCGAACAAAGGCCCCAGAGGGGGGCAGAAGACGAGGCCGAGGTAGAAGAAATACGGACTTTAATAAGGATTATTTCCCTTTGGTATAAGGTGAGACCCGTGAAAACATCCAAACGAAACACGGACCGAGCCGACCCCCGTATCCGCAAGGCCCGCTGCGAGCCGAGCCAGGGCCGGGCCACAATAAATAGCTACCTGCAGGCTTGCGTGTGCCTGTCCCTTCGTGAAACCTCAACTCGTACTTAGCCCAACGCCTGCCCGCTGCCAGCTGGCCTCGGCGGCCAGGGGGCCGCGCTTCCTCCAGTCCCAGCTCCAAAGCCACTTTCCTCCGCCTGGGGTCTCCGGTAAAAAAAGATAATGCTGCCCCTCCCGACTGCCTCACAGACCAGGGTGAGGAAATGCCAAAAGTTGTAAAAAGGGCTTTGCAAAGTTGGAGAGGTGATTACATAAACAGAATCGATTATAATAATTTTGTGCTCCAGAATAAGCCATGTAAAACAAAATCAGGAAATGTCCATCTACAGCCCTAAAAACCAATGCATATAAAATATAAAGTAAAAGCAGATCCAAATCTCGAGATGGCCTTTGGGGATTGTCTACTGCTTTAGTCTTCCTACCCGATCCCTCCACCACAAAAATCCGCTTGGGAAAATCTGTGCCCACCCACTGCTAGTACCACCCAAAGCCTTAATGGTACCTACCCAAGTCTACCACCATGCATGGCCACCCTAGACAGTTTGCTGGGGTGCAAATCTCTTAAGGGAGCAGACAGCCTCATCTTTCTCCTGAGGAGTCGCTGGTGGGTTTGAACTGCCTACTTGGGGGTTAACAGCAACCCAACGCTTGCTCTTCCCCCGTCTCCCACCCTTCTGGCAGATGGAGGCTGGGCAGAAGCTGCCAGAAGAAGGGCTGCCCTTTGGCTGTGGAGTATTACGTGCATGCAACACGGGAGGGGGTGGAGGGGTTATGAAATGTATATACAGACCCCGTCTGTGAGGGGGCTCCCGGCCAGGAGGCACTGAGCAAGGGACGGGTCCATCTCCCCCCTAGCCGGGAGAGGGGCGCTGGGACCCTGACTTTATATGGGTTGCATATCCCCTGAGGGGACAGCTACTCTTCCTGCCTGTTCTCCCAACTCACAATGGAGGGACTGCCTAGTAAGGCAAGGACAGTCCCGAAGCCAAGGTGTCCGGGACCCAAGTCCAGACCTCAGGGACCCAAGGAGAACTCTTTGTATAAAATATCTTCAGACCTAGGAGGTGGTCAAAGGCACAACGTTTAAACACTGGGTGGGGGAGGGGGGGAGGGGAAGTGCCCTGAGCCCAGGGGTAGACCAAAGGTATGACTCATTCCCCCTTCCCTGGAAGGATGACAGCTCACCACAGGGCATTTTCTAGCACAAAGAGGTGCTGCCTAGGTCTCAAGCACCCACCTTCCTGGGGAAAGGGGTTACAGATTGGCACAGGCAGGCCCAGGGAAGGAGGCCACTCTGTACAGTAATACTTTGGTGAGGTTGGGGGAAAGCAAGGCTCTGCCCGAGTCTCCTGACTTAAACCCGCTCAGCCAGCCGCTGAGCTCATGTGTCCACGCCACGGCCAGCTCTAACCCAAGGCCACGGCCACAGAGCTAGAGGTCCCGAGAGTCCCAAACAGGGCAGGCGGGCTTGAGGGCATCCTCAGGGAGATGGCATCCAGATGGATCACAGTTTCCGCTCCACAGGCTGCTGGAGACAAAGTTCGCTGCCCGCCGAGATGATGGGCAAGTGATTGTCCATGTGGTAGCTGATGAGATGACTGACGCTGTCAAAACGGTGATCCTTTGTCCGTACCTGGGGAGGGAAGGAGGGAGAGGGGAAGAGGTGGAGAAGACACCAGCATCCAGGGTTGAGGAAGCTAGAATACTGAAGAGGGCTGAGAAGGAGAGAGAGGTGGCATGGGGCTGGGACTAGCTGGTCACTGAAGCTGCTCTAGGAAGACAGCGGGCATGAGCAGGGCAGTGACCCGGGGAAAGACAAAGCAGACATCAGCTCCAGAGCCATGGCACTGAGGGGCATCTGCTCCTGCCTTACCCTAGAGGAGGCTGGCACGTTCTTGGAGGAGGCGGCACAGGGAGAAAAAGATGTGAAGTTGGCAAAGCCGGTTAATGAGATCAAAGTTGTAAGGGGCAGAGTGAGGCCAGCACAGACAGAAGAAAGATGGGTGCTGGTCTGAGTCTCCAATCTGGGGAGCGGGAGAGGACCCCCCAAGTACTGCAAGAGGAGGCTTGAAGTCTAGCCTCCATCTGACCAAGTACCAACCACCTTTCCAGTGTGGTGTGTGATGTGCCCAAGAGGGGCTCAAGCGAGATGACCACCCAAACTCCTTCAACCCTCAAGGGCTGAATATTCGGGGCTTTGAGGGCTGGCTCTCGGGTTTAGGGGTGTGAGAAGAGAAGGAATCCTAAGCTGCTGGAGAGGGGGCACCAGGCTCTCTGAAGAACCAGAGTGCCCCACAGGGAGCATCTCGGGGGCATGACTGAAAGAACAGAAATGCATTGGGAGGTACCATTCCTTCCTACACCGCCCCATACTCACCACACCCTCAGGGTCCACCAGCAGCAGGTGCTTGGGCTGCCCACTCTGCAGGCCGGTGAGCACATACTGGCCCGGCGTGGTGGTGCTCTCCCGAACCAGGAAATCTCCATTGAGCTGCAGCAGCGCCTCGGCCTCCCGCCGGCTCAGCTTCCCGTGGAACCAGGGCTCCCCTCGGAGCTGCTCAGCCATGGACACCAACTGGGGAGGCGGAGGCCCCCGGAGTGCATCTTCAAAGGGCTCTGCAGGTGGAGAGGAAGGACCAGTAGATACAGCTGGCACAGCACACAACCCAGGACCCAGACACGCAGCAAGGGGAGGCCGGGAAGGAAAGAGCAGATACCTGGGCAGAAGAGGGGAACCCCAGAGGGAAGATGGGCATGCACAGTGGGAAAGGGGCGCTCACTCATGTCGAAGAGATCCCGAGGCGCACTGCCATTGACGGCAGGGTTGGGAGGCCCGCCCCCGGCTTGCCGGGCCTTGTCTAGGTTCTGGACATTGACGTAAGAGGGATCATCAAAGAGCTCTCGACCTGCTGAGGAAAGGGGGGGCTTTACTGAGACTCAGACTCTGGCCCCTATACCTGTAGCACAGCCCACCTCCACTCCC